TTTCTGTGTTGTGGTCTGTGAAGCTGATAAGAATAGGTATATATCTTCCAGTTTTACTTGGGAGTCTTATTAGTGAGCAGTTCTCACTTGGAAGTTCAGTGCTAATTCCACTAAGAAAGAAGTTACACTTCTGTGCTGAAACACCAACTCCTCAAATATTGAAATTACTTTAAAATGGTTAAAGCCAGCAGTGCATAGAGGACTAGAAGCCCTAACCACTAGGACTCTGAAAGACAACAGTGAAAATAGTAAACAGTGAGTCTTACAAGATTGGAATTGTTGTCAGCTTTGGCCAGAATAGCTTTTTTTCTGTGGTGAGCAGAGTTTAATGCAGAAACTCTTAAGTCAGAACACTGAGAATAAGTGACTGTTGGGTGCTCAGCCCTAAAATTTAGGACATCTGTATCAATGTGCCAATACTCTGGGAACGCCACAGAAAAGGAGGACAGGAAGAGCATTAGAGATGGATGATGGGGCTGCTGTGAAATGCTATCTTCTGAACATGAAATAGTCATTGCACTCTTGAACTCTCTGCACTTAAGCCTATCTGCATAAGCTCAAACCAAAAAGGTCAGTCAGTATTCTAACTGGCAGTGCTGATTGGACTCAGTGGGTTACCAAAAGCTGGGGACATAATGGTAAGAAAGTGACATGTTTGGGAGTATCAGAGGAGTGGAGGGAAATTTTAGATATGAGCAAGATACATTGTATACATGTGTGTGCTTTGGTGTTTTACTTGCCTGTATGTGTGTGTGAGAATGTCAGATCTTGGAACAGATAATTGTGAACCACCATGTGGGTGCTGAGAATTGAACCCAGGTCCTCTGGAAGAGCACGCAGTGCTTCTAACTTAGAAGCACTGAGCCATCTATCCAGCCCCAGACAGAGAAGCTTTAAAGGAATCATGAAAGTAAAATAGTTAAAACCAACTAGTCTATCAGTGACCACAGACAGGAAAATGGCAGAAATCTAGAGTTAGACGTTAAAAGTTACTTGGAGTAAAAGTAGAGAATAGTAATTGAGGGTCAGTGAGTGAGATGGCTTGGTGGATAAAAGCACTTGAGTTTGACGCCAAGAACCCTACAGTAGAAGGCGGGAATTCACGTGAAAGCTGTGCTTTTAACTCTACACATATGTTGTGGTATGTGCATTCCCTCATTCACATATATAATCATATACACAGAAAAATAATATATAAAATAATTTAAAATTTTTTCAATGAATGGTAACTGAATAAATAAAGGAAGTAGGCAGAAAAGGATGAAAAAGAAAGGAATTTTAGGCTAAAGAACCAGAAGAAAGGAGAAGAATGTGAGGAAGAAGAGAAAAGGGAAAGAAAAGAAAGAAGAGAAAAGGAAAAGCTCATTTCCTATGTTTATATAGTTTTCTTTTTTGTGCAAAAAAAGAAAACTATATAAACATAGGAAATGAGCTAAGCTGCTTTTTAAAAAGCATTTAAATATAACTCAGTTATATCCTGTGAACTTACCCAAAAGGTTCCAAGTCAACATGTCACAGAGGTACCTGCATTCTGTTTAGTCAGCACTGTTCCCAGGAGCTAAGTTACGGAAACAACCTGAAATAATGAGGGAAGAAAATGGGATATGTGTATATATGTGTATGCACAAGAGCACATACACACGCACACATGCACACACACAATGAAAATTTTTAGCCATAATGGACAGTTGTGTAGTTTGCAAGAAATAGGATACAACCAGAGATAATCATGGTAAATTAATTAAGCCAGTCTCAGAAAAGCAAATATCATGTTTGTTCTTATTTGTGGCTTCTAGGTTTTATATAGATACATTAATTCATCTGTGTATACAAGATATGAAAATAGATGTGAAACTGTCTGAACAGGGATTGATAAGTTGTACAAAGGGGGAAGGGTATGAAAATGTGGGCAAAATATGCTCAAATGTGTATTATGTATTCTAGTGTGGAAATGTCCTCATGTAACAATACCACGGACAATGAATATACACAATGAAAAAATTAGTGTTACACTTAAAGAAATCAAAGGACAGTTTGTCCACATTAAGACCAAATTATGTATTTGGCACAGTGGGCACAATGTGAACTGGGCCTCATAGTATATTTAAGGGCTCATGAAAATTTTTTACTTTATTTTAAATCTAGAATTAAAAAGGGCAACCTGTTTCAAAAAACAGAATTAAACTAGAAGTAAAAAGGACATTTAGGTCAAATAAAAGGCTTCAATATACAGTATTTTTTTTAAATAATAGAGAGCTGTAGTATAAGGGACAAAGAAAAATTAAAAGCAATAAAATAATATTAGGAAAAACAACATACCAGAGCGGCTTTTTTCTGAAAGTATTCTAATGCTGGATCCTGCCAGGTGAAATTGTTAGTCAGTTGAGATTGGGGGCTCTTCTGTTTCATCCTGTTCAGACTGGTGTTGTACATTCAAGGGATCATTGCTCAATGGTGCTGCAAGTCACTTACCTTCTTTGCCTGCCAAGACTCACTTCTGACTTGAGAAGTTAAAGATTTCTCAAGCTGTGAGTTGGGCAGGTTTTCAGTCACTCCAAAGAAGTGAAGGCTTCTTTGGTAGGTGAAGTCATGGCTAGAGTCTAAGCACAGTATGTTTTCCGAGTGTATTTGGCTAGGAAAAGGTGGGTAAAGTACTGAGGAATGTTACTAGAGGACCCTTTCAGTGGTTGCTGATCCTTATCAGTATTGAACACCCTGTGAAAAGAGAAGATTGCTTGGAGTGTCCACAGACTGGGCTTGACAAGAAGTAAAAAAAATTTCAAGTCTTCCCTCAGTTCTAGCCACCTACTGGCTCAAGATACTAATCTCTGCTGCAGTTATCTGGGCCAAAAACCAAGAAACCCTTTACTGCCACTGCTAAGTCACGAAGGCTGCCAGCAGCCATTTCCCACCCATGAGCTGTGACAGGTTGACTGTAGGCTTTCTGACAAATTGTGTCTTTTTTCTCTGGCCCCCCAAAGAAGCTCAGTCTTAAAGAACAAAGGGTTTCCTCTCACGATAGTGCCCCACCACAACCTTCTGAGACATTACAAAACACCACCTCTCCACTGAAGACTAGTGTTAGAGGAATTACTGTTCCACCAGAGGCCCCTACTGGATTTGAGGCTTTCAAGAACTGCGGCTTATCCTACAGTTAAGACTGCCAATCCAAATTTACCAAGGCTCCTGCTTTAGCTGTAGATGAGGCCTCTGTGCTTGTACCACAAGTGCATGTGCTGTTCACCCTCCTTCTGTTCCCTGGGGGTTTCTGTTGCTCAAGACATCTGCCCTCACTTTATAGTTTGCAGTGCTCTTCTCTCTCTCCTTTGTCTACTGTATGCTATCCTGAGTCTTCTCATTTACCATATTAAAGGCAGCTGGTCCACCATTTTCCCTTGGAAGTCCCTCACTTAGATCTTAATTACAATTGAATATCGTGTTGGTGCTTTTATTCTCTTTGTGATGAATCCTAAAACATCATCACTAGGTGGTGATCACAGCTTCCTCAGACTGAAAATCATCATTATAGAATTTTATAATTTACATGTTAGTTTGTCCATCCAAAAATTCTCTAAGATCAAAATAAATCTAATGGTTTTCTGACTTCTTAATATCATATAGTCAACTTTATATCTTGGGTCTTTTTATTCCAGCTGTGTAGCTTACTAAGCATAAATTAATTAAGCCAAGCATGGTGGCGCACGCCTGTAATCCCAGCACTCAGGAGGCAGAGGCAAGCAGATCTCTGTGTGCTGGAGGCCAGCCTGGTCTTAAAAAGCGAGTCCAGAACAACCAAAGCTAAATAGAGAAACTCTATCTTGAAAAAATAAACCAAATCAAACCAAAAGGGGGGGGGCGACAATAATAAATTTACTTCTCTCCTCACTGCCCCAAATCTATTTTTAAAGCTCTGTTGTTATGTAGTGGGATTATTATCCAATTCTTCAGTAGTTCTCCACCTTCAGTTTCCATGCTTTTAATTCTGTATAAAATTAGTTTATTTAGATATTTGTTTCTTCGTGGGTTTTTGCAGTGCTGAAGACTGAACCTAGAGCCTCATACAAGTTAGGTATGTTCTATACCACCAAGTTATACCCAAGTCTCTTGACTTTTTCAGGTAGATATGGTTTGCATGCCTGTAATTCCAACACTAGGGACACTGGGGTTAGAGAATTGCAAATTCAGGCCTATTTGGACTATATAATGAGACTAAATCTAAAAATAATTGGTTAATTAATTAATTAAAATAATATACTCCCTTTTATCACTCTCATTGGCTTATATACCACATTCTTACCAAATTCTTTGCTGTTAACATTCTCTAGTTTTCCGGTGTTTGTTAACCAAAGTTATGTTAAAGCTACATAGCACTGCTTCCTGTTCTCTCTAGATACACTGAGACTTTAACCTAGCAGTCTTTCATACATCAAACTCCTTAAAGGTTTATAACTTGTACATGGTATAGTCAATAAGCTCTGAGTTGTTAACTAAGTGTGAATAGCATCTTTTTTATCACAGTAGATTCATCTAACAAATACTTATCACCTAACACTGATGTCACAGTATATAATGCCAGGTAACACTGAGCAGTACTGAATGAGCAGATAATACCATCTACCAGCACCAACTCAAAGGGTGTTCTTTGCATTCATCACTTTCTAGATCTCCTTCTGCCAAAGGCTCCTACACTTTTAAAAACACTCTTTTTAATCTACATAATAGAATTTAATATTATAACTCACTTATAATCATGCTGACCTACACCATGACAGTAGGTGAGAGTGTCCAATGCAGACTGTAAGTTCTTGGAAAGCAAGAGGCAAGCAAGAGCTGGGTTCCGAATGTCTGCTCATTGCTAGATTCTCACTCCCTAGCAAACTGATTTCATAAGTACCACATTCTGCAAGTCTTTATTAACTGTTGGTTATGTTCTGCACGCATCTATTCTTAATCTTTTTCACTTCAGTCTTCCTGATCTGTATTTTCTCTTTACTTAACAGACAGTGTGGAGCATTCATTATTAAGACAATTGGGCAGCTCTAGTCCAGCTCAACTGATTTCTTGTCCATTGATCCTTGTGTGACCAAGATCCAGCTCCAAGGAACCGGCTAGAAGCTGCCCGTTGTGAAACTTAGGGTTAGTTAATACCTCACCATACTTATTTATTCCATGATAAGCTGTCTGAATTTGATGACATTTGCTTTACTACTGTTCTACAAATTTTAAGTAGGTAGATGTGGCATTTGGCTTTATATGTGTTAGTTTAATTGCAGTAACACTTTTTACATGTTTTATCCATTCCATAAATAATAACTATACCAAGAATAGTGAGGTGTCTTTCATTTTCTCTACTTTATGTTGCTTCTTTTAATCTCAGAATTTTAAACATTTTGTTTTCGCTATTTAAACATTTTGGATAAGAGTCATATCTAATCTAAAAGAATTTTAATGCTTCTATAACTTGTAGAATGTGCTAGCCTTAATGGTTTTGTTTTGTCAATTTGCTTTGCTGTATTTTCACTTACTATGCTTTGTCGACTTTTTTTTTGTTACTGCTACTATTTTAGTGTTACTTTTGCCATGGTTTTCTGAATTTAAATAGTGTTTTGTACTTTATGATGACATCTTCCAAATATTAGAAAAAGCACCAACATGATCAATATTCTTGCCTTTTCAGCTAATTAATTAAACTATACTAATTTTTTCTAATATTTCAGATAAAAATGTAACCTCATATATCATCATCCATTTGATACCAAAGTTTATAAAATGTTGATCCACCTCATAGAATTTTTATAAAAGAAGGGCTCACTTCTGACATTTTCTTATACTTTTCCAGTGTATTAGTGCTCTTAGAATGCTTTTCTCATTTTTACCGATATATACAATTACATATTATTAATTTTAGGAAGACAATTATTTTCATAAAATGCAAGATTATTTCTTACACCAGAGGAAAACTGTAGATTCTAGTTCCAGGGCCAATTCACATTATAAACTTGGAAATGGTAGAAGAGATTCATTGTTCAAAAGCTAGAGAACAAGTCATATATTTTTAATCAGGAAAATTTCTGTAGTAGGACAAGAAATACCTCTTTTTATATTTATTTGCAGTTCTTTCACTGACTTGTTAATTTAAGAACAAAAAGAGAAAAGTCTAGATATTGGCATTACTCTAATAATTCACCCTTTCCTCACCTATTCCAACCCCAAATGCCTTCCATGCTCAGCAGCAGCAGAAGTAACAGGACTGGATCCCAGACTTTTTTCCCATAAATCAAATAGGCTTTTTCCTTTTGAAACCATAATGAGTATGTCTGTCAGTCAAATGGTTTCCTGAGAATGGTAGGACCCCATGTCTATATACTGGCATACGAATGTCTCGTGCACTAATTATTCTCAATCTTAAAAATGTAATAGACTAGTAAGTCCCATAATGAAATTTCAAGAGATTTTGTTCTGTAATATACAAAATTATTAACCAGTGATGTTAGAAATCTTTTTTAATAGCATTATCCTTGAGAACAAAAAAGGTTACTGTTTGGTTTTTAAAATGTTAAACATGATGCTAAAAAAAATCCTGGACTGTTAATAAAAATTAATGATGTATTATATTATTGAACAAAGAATTCTTATAATAATTCATACCCAGTATGTTTCTTCTACAATTTTATATATATTTAAGTATATGCGTACAGACATATAAGCATATATTATTGTGTGCTCATATACATCATATATACAAACATACAATTAATACATGTGTACAGTCTTGAAGTTAGCTTTATTTTAAGATATTAATAAAAACTTTGGATTTACTGACAGTTGAGTTATGGGTGGTATCATTTGTTTTTCTCCTTGGCTTAGCTTGGCAAGCCTAACACGCTGCCTTTAAAGACAAGAGTGCGAGGACAAAATCCTCCTTACATATTGTAAGTGATTTAACCATATCCTCCATCAACCATTTTTTAAAGTAAGTTTTTACTTATTTAGTGCCCATTTTGAAAAGCCAAACTGGAGAAGACACCTGAAATTCACCGTGTTAAAGTGAAATGGATACCATAAAATTAGTGATACATTCACATGACTTTGCAACTTGTTTTACCAGAATCTCAGATACAACCAAGATAGAATGGAATATTCAAAATTTTAAACTTTGATTTCTATCTTGATTGGGTGATTTCTTCAGACTGGAATGGAGTCACATGTAAAAATTCTTTGTATCTTTCCTAAAGAATTGTACATGGGTAATATTAAAATTCAGAATCAAAGGCCTGAAAAGAATAATCAGAACGCAGCAAATTCAACTTATCATTTTTTCAGTGTTGCACTAATACTTCTAGACTTGTACTTCTGACTAAAAGTTATTCTGAAGTCTCCCTAAACATAGTATAGGCAAAGGAAGGCCAGGGCTCAGTTAGGAAAGCACTTGCCATGAAATCAGGAGGACCTGAGTTCAGTTCCCAGAAGCTATGTAAGAAAGCTAGGCATGATGACCCACAACTGCAATGTCAGTGCTGGAGAGAAAGAGCAGCTCCTTGGACCTCACTGGCCAGTCAGCACAACCTAACCAGCAGTTATCAAGTCACGGGGGGGAAACAAGGTACACTTCACCTGGGATTGACCTACACACAAATGCATGCACCTACACTCATGTTCACAGCCCTGCACAATGACACACACACACACAACACATACCATATACCAGAGGCAAAGTGAAGGATGGATATGAATCATGCTCATATTGCACGGATGGTGGTACATTCCATTAATGCCAGCACTCAGGAGGTAGAGAAAGGTGAATCCCTGAGTTCAAGGCCAACTTGGTCTACATAGAGTTTCATGCAAGCCACAGCTACATATGAGACCCTATTCTCAAAAATAAAACCAAATTAAAGAAATAGCACTCATGTTGGTGCTGTGTCTTTCACTTCTGTGTTTTCATCGATATGCATGCATTCCTAAAGTTATGCTGTCGGCTTTCATCTCTACATACTGAACACCATTTTCTGATTACCATCTACAGCGGCTGTTGCTTGTTGCACTTGCAGCATGTTTTTTGACTCTGCTTCTGTGCATTGTACAATTTTCTACCTTAAAAACTCTGCTTATTTCTCTCAACAAAGACTACTCAAAATTACTTTATACTGCCAAGGTTAGTATTTTTTGTTTCTAAGATAAGTTTGTTTTCTATCTACTAGCCTCAATATTGTCTTGTTTTTACAAATATGAGATAGTACACATAAATGAAATAAGAGATTATGTATTTTCAAGTTTATTATTTTTGGATATTCTGATTAACAGTAAATTAATATAATGCCAAGTTTGACTATAGTTAACTAAAAATGTATAGTAATAGACTGTATAATTAGACATTTTATGTAAGGCATCACTCACTAATGAGTGGTTACATATTTACATATTTACTTTTAAAACATGTAATTTGAAAATTTTCTAGCTATTTATTGGTTATTTACTCAAATGATGGTGTACTTCCTCATAAACAGAAGACACAATTTCTTTGACAATAAATGACAGTAATTTTCTTACGGAAGCTAGTGTCTTAACCATATTTTTCATTTCTATCAAAATGTAACCATAGAAGTAACCTAGAAGTAACCATCATTTAGTATTTGTAATGGACAGTATTGTCGGCCTGACAGGATCTAGAATCACTGAAGAGATAACCCTCTGGGCACGTCTGTGAGGGATACCTAATTGAATTGTGAAGGTTACCTTAGCTAAATATGTGTAATATCATTTCCTGGACTGAGGTCCTAAACTAAATGACAATGAAAAAGTTGGCTGACAGCAGCACTCAGGCCTCTGCTTCCTGGCTGCAGACACAGAGTGAGCAGCTGCCTCATGCTCCTGCCGCTGTGACTTCTCCCCCATCTATGACTCTGAGGCAAAATAAACTTTTCCTGCCTGAAGTCTCTGTTGTCAGAGTTTTTTGTTTGTTTTTATTTTTTATTTTTGTCAACGCACTAAAAAAAGTAACAGGTACAAAATTCTACTGAGAAGTTGGGGCCATTATTGTGAAAACCTGACCCTGTGGTTGTTCAGCCTTTGGAATTGTTTGACAAGAGAAATATGGAAGAGCTTGAAATCTTGAGGGAAAATCCTAGAGTGCTATAGGCATTACTTAACATCCTGTTCGCACTTAAAAGATGAAAATGTCAAGAGAAGCAGATAATGGTGGTCAAGTTTCTAAGGCTCAAGGAAGAACAAAGACTCTTGGGCACTGTGCTAAGTCTGCTTGTGACAAAGAATACTGCCTTCAGTCTACCGCTGTATGGGAATGTGTTGAGGCAGAATTTAAAAGTGATGGACCAATGTGGTTTATTAGCAAGAGAAATTTCAGAGCAGGCTAGCTTTCATCTGTGGAATCACTATTGCTCACTGTTTTTATCCAAGTATACAATGGAAAGGAACAGAAAGACATGTTTAATGTGTGTTTGGGGAGGAAGAAAGTTTTTAAAATTAAACACAAGATAGGTACTGCTACAGTTATTAAAGAGATTGGTCTACTATAGAGAAACCTGGTATGTAGGGAATAATAGGAAGGTGCCTGAGGACAAGACTATACCCATGGAAGGTTCCATTTCGTGAAAATGCAAATTCGCTTCAGAAGAGAAAGCCTAAAATCAAAATGCCACTGCAAAACAAAAACACCTCTCTGGGGCCATGGCCTGGGGTCTTCCAGCAGTGTGTTTGCTTAAGACCTTCCAAGGCAAATACATGTTTACAGGTTGGGCCCAAGTCAGGAACATGACAAATAAGCAGGACAAGGCAAAACAATGATACTTGCAGGCCAGCTGTTGACTCTACATGTTAGAGGGGTTTGAGGGGAGGCATTGTTTTGGGGATCCCGGACAAGCTCCCAAATGTTAGGCCCTGGTTGAGAAGACCCTAAAGACCACAAAGAGACTGACCATGTATGCAAGAACAAAGACCCTTTAATTTGGGCTTAAGCTCAGGCTCTTTGCTGTCACCAACGCAGTGGATCAGGGAGGGAGTCCTGAGCAGCTGCAAAA